TCCACTCAGTAAATTGTCCTGTTCTCCCGAATCTCTGTACCTTGTGCAACTACTCTGACGTCATAGGGCGTAACCCACCTTCACTTAAGCTGCCAAGGTAAACTTTATTAGCTTTTAACCGTTTTACAATCAACACAATACTTAAAGGGATAGTGGAAATGGAACCTCAAATAGTTTCGTTTTAACTTATATACAAGCATAATTACGTACCAAAACAATCACACCTGATTAAAAAAATATAATAATTGCCTTACGCATGTTAGAAGCACTTTATTGCAGCTTCCCCGAAGTTTTTTAGAAACGAAATGTTTCTCTGCCTAACCGGAAGTGACGAAAACTCAGGAAGACGATACGATAACAAACCATGGCGTCTATGCAGAATGAACGTGGAAGGGCAAATATACCAGACAAAGAAGAAGGATTGTACGAGGTATCCAGTGATGATAGCGAGTCAGAAACATCCTCTCGGCTTTCCTACGAAAATGTCGTTTTAGGAACTGAATCTGAATCCGGTTCAGTAAGCGACGATGGTGACAATATTGAGCCAGACGATGGACCATTACGTCCTTATTTGTTCGAGCCCGAGCCCGAGGTGATGGTTCACGGCATGGGCAATGGCGAGGATGACCAGGACCAGGCGCCAGATGATGCACCCCTACGCACAAATAATCTTGACTGGTAGGTCCCTAAGCATAGCTCACGCATCTTAAGATCACCTGTAGCCTTTACAAATATTAATCATTGTTAACCAGTTAAGGCCGAAGGTCCCCCCAGTGGACCCCTCCCACCGTTTTTTTTCTCTCACATGTCTCAGGGCTTCTTAACATTTATGAAACTATTAATGTTTCATACCCTTTTAAAGGTAAGAAACTCCGCTAACTGACAATAAGAACAATTGTTAGCTAGAAAAAACACAAGAGTAATACCAAGCCTTTGAATTAGCATTGAGCGAAACAATGCTAACTAATGCTAACGCTTTTTTACACACAACACACGGTAGAAATGCCCTTATTACTATCTTAACTGCACAAACAAGATATACGATTTAAAGCTGAGACTCCACAGATTCCACACATGTAATGTCATCACTGTAAGACCTCAAATTCCTGGAGCTATCAGCCAGAAAAGAGAAAGTAAACAACATCCGGTTCCAAAAATATTACAATAATTACGTCTTACCTTTTTTGATTTGTGATCAAAAGTTGTGTTCAACGGAATAAAAACGCATCTCAAGGTTAATCCAATGTCGTTGTGTCACGTAGAATTTTTCTGTCGCACTACAGCCATACAAAACACATCTATTCACCATAATAAAGGTCGGCTATTCACATGCAAATGCTATTGAATGTCCGCCATTGTTTGTGCCCGTCTTCCTGAGCTCTGGTCATCACCCGAAGATTCCCGACGATTCCCGAAGTATTTCGTTTCATTGAGAGGGCGCAGTAAAATTGAAAATAAAATGAAACTAGGCGGATGAAATTAAAAAAAAATTGTTTAATATGTTTCTTTTTAATAAAAATACATAAGTTAAACCCAAAATTCGCGGATTTCCACTATCCCTTTAAGGTAATATTTACTTGGTTCTATGGTTAAAATGTACTTAACACAATGATGATACAAAATTACATGCAAAATGCAAGTAACACATTAAATAAAAGGAGACATTTTGAGTTAAAGCACTAAATTAGTAATTTCTTGTAGAAGTAAAACACATAATCTAAGTTTTTATCAGTGTATACTACGTCATCGAGTGGCGGCGAAGGACTGTTTAAATAGTGTTTAAAAGCCCAGCATTCGGTGCGACTCGATGACGTAGTATACTTGAAATAGAGGCTCTGCAGCAGGTTTACTCGACATAGGCCCTTTCTCATTTCATCAAATCCCCCTCCTCGACTCCTCGGTCCTCCGGTAGTGACCCGGAAATGAATTTTAGCGCGCCATGTTGAAGGACATCTGGGTTGCGGTCGGATAGTTTAAAAATCAGCTCCTAAATTCTAACCCTATCTCCTATTCCTTGACCTCTGAGTGAAACGTCACAGGGTTAAGGGATAGTGGATAGGATAATTCAAAAGGACTTAGGAGAAGAGACTGCAGGGTTGCATTCCAATAGTCCATTTAGCTTAGGAACCTTCCTAACCAAGTGAAATGTCCCGGAAGTACGTCAGTGGCAGCCATGTTAAGTGCCGTTGTTAGCAATATGGTCTAGCTGCGGCCGCGGCCAGTACACGGCGGTACACGATGGTACACGACACGCCCACCTGACATTACGGTGGCTGAGAGGCATGGCAGATGAAAAGCGAATTGACGACAACTACGCCGCCTACGGTGGAGACCGTACACCGTTATTGTAGCATTTTAAGCAACTAATTTAATAACCTATCCGTTTTAAGCAACTATTAGGCGTTTTAAGCCACTATTAGGCAAATAAATTAATAACCTATCCGTTTTAAGCAACTATTAGGCGTTTTAAGCAACTAAATTAATAACCTATCCGTTTTAAGCAACTATTAGGCAAATCAATTAATAACCTATCCGTTTGAGAACCCCTTGGAACCCCTTATCCCATTTTGATGGTTGACATCTCATTTGAACAGTGAAAGCCAGAATATAGTAAAAATGCTTACCAATGATGTATTAATAATAGGATATATATAGCGCCTTTCATGAGACCCAAGGTCCCTTTAAAAAGAAGAACAGGAGTAGAAACAAACATAACAAAAGGCAGTCAGACAAAACAACAAATAGATTTGGGGCTAAAGGCCTTGGCAGACAGATGGGACTTGAGGGCCCTTTTGAAGGCATCAAGCGTGGGGATGTTGCAGATCTCCGCAGGGAGAGCGTTCCAGAGAGTGGGGGCTGCCATACTGAAGGCTCTGTCCCCGAAGGATCGCAGGTTGGTGCGGGGGGCCAGAGTCTGAAGACCGCAGGTTCCGGGGTAGAGCATGTGGGAATTGTATTGATTGAGCCAGTGTTTCATCGTGTACTTTCAACTGCAGTATATGGTCAGGCAAGTTCAGCATTCACTGTGATGTATATAAAATATGACACTGATACCGTTTTCCTCAATGAACATTTATTGAACAGAATATCAAATGGAAAATCAGAGCTGGTCAACTTAAAAAAATATTGAATAAATAATAAACTCCTCGGAATCTTTCACAAGTCCTTCAGCCTTTGGTGCGCTTCCTCACTCATGTTCTTGGCGAGGTCATGAGAACAAAGTGCCATCTCACTGATAAGACAAGATGGTATAAAGAAGTCATATGTAATATTATAAAATCACATGCATCAGGGGTTGTACACTTTAATGTGTCCAATCACTAACGGACTCTTTAGGAAGGAAGCTGTAAGGCCTCTTGTTATAGGAGTGGTCCTCATCAGTGTCCAGGGGCATCTGTAGACAGTCAACCATTATTTTGACAGTGCTTTAGATGCACGGTTTAACTCCTCCAAAAATGATCCAGGCTCGATTCAGAATGACACAGTACCACACAAAACAAATGTTGCATGTACCATAAGTTCTATGTAGTATGTGTTTTAGGAGTAGTAACCCATTCTGAAACAGGCACACAGGGTCATAGATACGTTGAGCGATACACTGACCATGGTGCTGCTTGCATGCGTCCTTTTACGACTGATCCTGAATGTACGTGGGACATTGTTGCTAAGGGTCGCCCTGCCTTCCTCACTATAGTGAGCAAACTTCTTTCCATACCTGCAATTAAGACACATTTTCTTCACCAGAAGGTTGAATTTTAGAGCCAGGTGTTCCCCCCAAATCTTCTTGATAATACAATTACAAATTCAAATGTTTTTGTAGCACTGCAGCATACCCTTCCAGTCCAAAGTTTTCCACCAGGATAACACACCACCACCTTCTCAGGAGAGACATGTCATGCTAAAGAAAGAGCATCAATTTTCATTAAGTTTGCTATAGAATTTTAATGTGACTTCTTTCCTTAATACTTACAATGCTGAAGTCAAAGCTGGCCTCCATGGCAAAATACCAGGCATACTGTAATGAGAATTTTATTAGCACATGCAAGACATAATGTACACGTGACAGCTGGGTGTGACCCGGTCCTTTCACAAAATGGACACTGGAAGGTGTCCGAGTCCAATTTGTTGAGCTCTGGGCGTGCTCCATCACGGAGTGTTGTGTTGTTTGTCTATAGGTGAATAAAATAGAATACAATTTAAGTGACTTTAATATTGGAAATAGTTAACTCCTTAAACAAGCAGCAATGAACTGGCCTGTATAATCCTATGGGACAAAGCTGGTCATACTTCCTCACTTTCAGAAGGTAACCCTTTAATGCACAAAACAACCTCTAGATTTCACTGTGGTTCGAACAGAAAGCCCTTCAGCTAGTTTAAATGTCAGGCCTACAGCATAAACCCCATCTAAAAACAGAGGCTCTGTCCTAATTACCTGATTGCATCCACCTGGGTTACTTGGCTCTACCCAATAACTACCATTTAACTTTAAACCACACTTAAAATAATAATTATACATATTTACATGTCTACAGTATAGGAGCTAATACATGTTTTAAATAAAAAACATTAAAATGTGAAAGACACCTTCAATTAATATTTAAAACTTACATAAAATCAGATTCTTGTAAAAATTAGAGTACATGCATGTTCAGTTAGCATATATGCTAAGTTAACTGAACGTCGAGCATGTCAAGCTAAGATATATATATATATATATATATAGCAAAATAAACACAATTACACTGCGCTAAACAGCCACATCGACAAACAAACGAGAACCTAAATAGTATGTAATTATATCTAAAACCACAATACGTTAAGTACCTGTACTCGGTGCGCCATGTTGTTTGTTGTCTGTAAACCTCACGTGTTGGGCGTGCTCTCTTCTGACCATATTTGGAAGTACAACTTTTCGCGGCCGCAGCTAGACCCTTCTCAGCCACCGTAGTGTCGTGTCAGGTGGGCGTGTCGTGTACCATGTGTACCATCGTGTACTGGCCGCGGCCGCAGCTAGACCCTTCTCGTTGTTAGAGCCATTTTCTGTGTTGACAATGAGTGTATTATTTTCTTATTAATTTAGATCTTAATATATTCTTTCCATTTATGTATTAGTACCGAATTAAATATTCGGAGAAAAACCTTGATTTACTGCGAGCCACACCTGTGATATAAGGAAGGGGTGGGACTGAGCGTGAGGAGGAAATTGTCTCCAGCAATGAACGGGGGATCGGAACAGTCTTTGACCTCATGTTACACTGATCGTTTTGTTTATTTTGTTTGTTTAAATATATGAAAGTAAATAAATCGGCCGAGGAAGGCAAAGAAATCAGCGCCTACAGAGCTTTATTTGGATGGTTTTTAACGTGTGAGTCAAGAAGCGGATCCCTGTTGACGTGGCACAGTTTTTAGATATCCCACAAGAATGGGCCACGACATAGTCAAAGACTCCGGACCGCTGGAATAACTGATGTTAAAGACGCATCGCTGACTGGAATCCCGGTTTTGTGATTTGTGAATGGAATAAGGATACTCCGTGGACAAGGATTGCGCAACAATCAGCTGTTAAGCCATGCGGAGGGCCGCGAGTAAACAAAGGACGGATCAAGAACAGTGAGTACATGGACTAATATTAGGAATGAGATGAACTCTTAAGCCAGAAGAAAAACATTAAACATGATCGGGATGTGGATATATGCTGGATGCCTGCCAAGATAAAAGGAAACGGAATGGAGCAGAGAGAAATGTTTGTGACGACGCAATGTTGACAAGGAAATGATGTCATGATGGCTGAAGAACCTGATAAATTAGAGAATGAGTTAAAAACTCTCAGTGCGAAGCGCAGAGGGAAACTGGGCGCGTGCACGCGTAAACTGAATGAACTCAGACCACTGCTTGCTGATAGTGGAAATAGTGAAAGGGTGTTACGACTTACGAGGTGTGGAACAATTAAAAGTGACTCTGGATGAATTTAAAGATGCTCATGCTGCTGTCCAAATGCTCTTACCTTCTGAAATAAAGGAAAATGAGACGTTGGACTGGTATGACTATGAGCCCAAAATGGAAACATTTGAGAATTTCCTAAAGGAAGTGGATTCATGGAACACTTTTCCACTAGACCCTCAGATGCTTATTAATCCTCATACTAGTATCTCCAATGTATCCAATGAGTCTAGGATATCAAAATGTTCAAAACAAACAAGACAATCTGCAACTTCAATAGCCTCAGCTCATCTTAAAGGAATGGTATGCTCATGACACTCATTTAATTTTTTTTATCATCCGATAAAACAGACCAGTCTCTGCCAGTCTCTCTTTTTCTTTTTTTTAATCCGATGACATTAACAGTGATTTTAAACTGATTAATTACCGAAATAACATCAACACTGTGGGCGGCGCCATTTTACCGGACGTGACGTAAACCATGCGTTTGGTTTCGAGGACACGTTGATGTTCATGTTATTTACTGTAGTTACTCTCTTCAAATATGCCTCATTGTATCGCGAAACATTGCCACAATTCTGATAGGAACAATCCACGGAATGCTCGGTTCTATCTGTTGCCAAAAGGTAAGCGTAGGAAGTACGTTCGGAGGCAGTGGCTAGCGAAATGTGGCCGGCCCGAACCGAAAGATCCACAGGCATGTATGCAGCGAACATTTCAAGTTTCCGGACGACTACTATGAGTATGATAAAACATAACATGGGATTTATTGAACAACCATTACTTAATGGAGATGCAGTACCATCGGTCTTTCTGGTGTCATCACCGACCAGGACACCAGTTCGGCCAGTTGAGAAATCGCCCTCTGCAAGTGTGAAGCGACGGAGGACCAGAAGTAGTGCTCGGAGTAAGAATAAGGTATGTTATGGCGCATTTCCATTGCAGCGGGTAGCCCCGTTTAAACGTCCTTTATCGTCCAGGCCAGGCCAGTTTTTGGTGGCCTTTCCATATAGCGTAGTACCGGCTAGTGGGTATTTCCCCCCAGTTTTTCCGGCCCCATAAAATCGTGGTTCTAGGGCCAGGGACAACGAGGCTGAGTATGCTAAACTAGAGAGGGAATCGCTAGCAAGGGTGGTACTACATGCATACATATCTAGTAATCAAAATCATTGTATCTACTAAGTAGTACTAAGTAGGCTCGAACCTGTATGGCTGAATTCCCCCTTCCAATCTCTTCATATTGCTCAAAACTTCGCCATGTTTTCGTGTGTTTACAAAGTGAACGCATGGATGACGTCACGACCATCACGTGACTACTGAAAATGGGCAAAATGGCAGCGGCCTGACGGAATATACAGGTTTTGATAAAAAAGAGCTATAAAATCATTATTTACCGGCGAATATCGCTGATTTCTTCAGGGTATGGTTTAAACATAATGTTTCACTAAATACTGAAGTTTTGATTAATTATCTAATGAGTGGAGCATTCCTTTAAAGTAGCCACGGAGAAAGCTGCATTACAAGCACGGATGTCCACATTAAAACAGAAACAGGCATTGGAAATGAAGAAAACCAGATTACAAGCTGAATTGGAGAGAATGGAACTGGAGGAGCATATAGCCGAATCTGAAGCCAAATTAAAGGTGTTTGACAGTTTTTATGTGGGCCCTGAAAGACATTCTACAGTACAGGAAAGAGATGGAATGAATGAATATTTGACAAGCCACATTGCTAAAACATCACTTCACAGCCAACCCAGAGCTCAAATACCTGCACTTGCATTAGACCCCTCTGAACCAGCTCCACTGTTGAGCCCGAGAACATCAGAGCCACCAAGGAGTGAAAGTTCTGAGGAATCAGACTCTAGTAGTCATAGTAGAGATTTGGTAACTGTGATCCAGAGGCAAAATGATATTGCAGATTTACTAATGTTACATCAGAAACAATCCTCACTTCCCTCCAGACAAATACCTGTATTTGATGGTGACCCTTTAAGTTTCCAAACATTCATGCGAGCATTTAAACATGGCATTGAGAATAGTTGTGATGATGATAGACTTTATTACCTTGAACAATACACTAGTGGCCAACCTAGGGAACTGGTGAGGAGCTGCTTTCACATGGAACCAGAGAGAGGTTATGCTGAGGCACGAAGACTTCTGAAAGTTCACTTTGGAGATGGATTGAAAATTACAAATGCCTACATGGGGAAAGCCCTCAACTGGAGCATGATTAAACCTGATGATGGAAAAGCATTACATGCATATGCCCTTTACCTGAGAGGATGCTGCAATGCTATGAAGGAACTAAAAAGCATGGAAGAACTGGATCTTGTATCTACTTTAAAGCTCATTGTGTCAAAACTGCCATACAAGCTGAAGGAAAAGTGGAGAAATACAGCATTCGAGCTTCTAGAACGAAACCAAAGAAGGGCCACGTTCTCTGATCTTGTTGTGTTTATGGAAAAGCAAGCCAGCATTCTGCAAGATCCCCTCTTTGGTGATATTCATGATGTTATGCCATCCCAGAGAGCCATCCCAAAAGCTACTACATCCTACTCCAAACAGCAAATCAACCAACGAGGTAAAAGTAGTAGCTTTGCCATGGCAATAGAAACGAGGAACTGTAACACTGCAAGTCCAAAAAGCTATCAACGACCTGAAAGCCTGGTTACAAATAGGTGGGATGGTAATTGTTGCATTTGCAAGAAAGGCAAACACTCGCTAAATGAATGTGAAATATTAAAGCTGCAACCACGTGATGTAAAGGTGCAACTATTGAAGGAAAAAGGCATTTGCTTTGGATGTCTAACCAGGGGACACATGAGCAAAGCGTGTAGGAAAAGGAGTACATGCCTACACTGCCAAGGAAGGCACCCTAGCATTCTACACATCGATAAACCAACAGAGAATGAAAACGACCACATGACCAATTGGACTAAACGATCAGTCAGTGGAACTCCTGTCATTCTGGATAAAGAAGAGGACATCGGGGCTGGAAAATATTGCAAACTGTCAATAGTACCAGTACAAATAAAAGTTTCCAAAGGCAGCAAAACTATACAAACATATGCCTTTCTTGATCCTGGCAGCACATCAACCTTTTGCACAGAAAATCTGATGCGACGGCTGAATACAACAGGATGGAAGACTACAGTTCTCCTGCAAACAATGGGTCAAAAGAAACCAGTGGATAGTTATGAAATAACTGGACTACAAGTGGGTGATTTGGATGGGAATAACTTTATTGATCTGCAGAAGACATACACACAAACAAAGATACCAGTGACAAAGAGAAACCTCTTCTCTCAAAAGGATCTCAACAGGTGGCATTACTTGAAGGAAATACAACTACAAGAAATTGATGCGGACGTGGAACTCTTAATCGGAGTAGATGTCCCAAAGGCAATGGAGCCCTGGCAAATCATAAATAGCCACGGTAATGGTCCTTATGCTGTAAGAACTCTCTTAGGATGGGTCGTCAATGGACCGCTTAGTTCAACTACAGCTGTGGACACATTTGGAAGACCAGTGGCATCAGTAAACCGCATCTCAATTGAACAACTGGAAAAGCTTCTTGTAAATCAGTATCATCATGATTTCACAGAGAGATAATATGAGGGAAAACTTCAAATGTCAGCTGAAGAAAGTAAATTCATGCAGCTGGTATCAAGTGCAGCTACACTGAAGGATAATCACTATTATCTACCGTTGCCACTTCGTAATAGTGATGTCATCATGCCCAATAATCACCATATAGCTGAGCAAAGAGCACATTACCTTGCTCAGAAATTCAAGAAGGATGCTGCTTATGCTGAAGAGTACAAGGTCTTCATGGAAGATGTAATCACAAAAGGCTATGCGGAGAAGGTGCCATCAAAGGACCTTCATCCAAATGATGGCAAGGTGTGGTACATACCCCACCATGGGGTGTACCACAAGCGAAAAAATACACTAAGAGTAGTATTTGATTGTACATCTTCATACAAAGGAACATCACTCAACAATGAACTCTTACAAGGACCTGACTTAACCAACTCACTTCTTGGCGTTCTGCTGTGGTTTCGCCAGGAACAGTTTGCCATCATGGCAGATATTGAAGGGATGTTCCACCAAGTTCGAGTTCACGAAAAAGACACAAACTTGTTGAGATTTGGTGGCCAAATGGTGACACAAGCCAAAATTTAGAGCAATACCGAATGAAAGTTCATTTGTTTGGTGCCATCTCCTCACCAAGCTGTGCCAATTTTGCCTTGCAAAAGACAGCAGAAGATAATAAGAGCCAGAGTGACACAATTGCAGTTGACACCATTAAATCAAACTTATGTTGATGACTGCCTGAAATCTGTTGCAAAAGAAGAGCAAGCTATTATCCTCACTAAGAATCTGAGTGAACTATGTGCTAAAGGAGGTTTCAAACTAACAAAATGGATTAGCAATAGCCGTGCTGTCCTGGCTGCTATACCTGATGAATACAAAGCCAAACAGATCAAGGAACTGGACCTGGATAGAGAGAAGCTACCTGTGGAAAGGGCTCTTGGAATGTACTGGAATATTGAAGACGACACATTTGGATTCCAAATTGCAATAAAAAACAGGACCCTTACCCGACGAGCTGTGCTCTCTACTGTCAGTTCAGTATATGACCCGTTAGGTCTTGCTGCCCCCTTTGTACTAAAGGCAAAACAAGTTCTCCAAGGTCTTTGTCAGGCTAAGTGTGGATGGGATGTAACAATCCCTGGTCAGTTCTCCAAACCATATGATAAATGGCTGACTGAGTTGGAACAGTTAAAACATTTGCAGGTTAGCAGATGCTTCAAACCTGAGGATTTTGGCCAAGTAGAAACCATGCAGTTGCATCACTTTAGTGATGCCAGTGAGCAAGGATACGGCACTGCAAGTTATCTCAGATGTGTCAACAGTTTGGGTGAAGTTCATGTTGCTTTAGTGATGGGGGAAGGCTAGAGTAACCCCTCTCAAAAAGATGACTATACCCAGACTGGAGCTTACAGCAGCCACCCTAGCTGCAAGGATGGATCGGATGTTATGCTCAGCGCTACAGCTAAACCTCCAAGAGTCCATCTTTTGGACCGACAGCCAGTCTGTACTTAAATATATCTGCAATCAAACCAAGCGATTCCACACCTTTGTAGCTAATCGGATTGCAGTTATTCACGACATGTCAAATGAGACTCAGTGGAGATATGTGGACTCCAAACGAAATCCGGCCGATGATGCTTCCCGGGGGCTAAACATTGAAGCCTTCCTAAAGTCTAAAAGATGGCTACATGGACCCGAATTCCTGCAAGAGGAGGAGTCTCAGTGGCCAGGGAACCCAGACAAAAGGTCACAAAGATCTCTTTCTCCAGATGATCCTGAAGTGAAAAGGAATGTCACTGTAAATGTGATGAGTATTGAGGGGAAAAGTCCCACAAGTGAACTAATTGAGCACTACTCAGATTGGAACAGCCTGAAAAAAGCTGTAGCTTGGATCCTGAAATGGAAAAGATTGCTCTTGGAGATCACTCAAAGAAGGAAGGTGACAAACCCTGGATTGCTGCCGAGTAATGATTCACTGAAGGAACGGGCCATAAACTTTAAAGTGACCGTCAACACAAATCTGACTGTGGAAGATATGGACAATGCTGAAATGGCCATACTTGCATTTGAACAAAGGAAACACTTTGCACAGGACATTAACTTCCTTGAAAAAAGGAAATACTGCCAAAAGGACAGCCCTATATTAAAAATGGACCCAATCCTTGATCAAGGTATACTGAGAGTTGGGGGGAGGAACAGATCAGCTATGCCAGTAAACGCTAAGAATCCCATAATCCTGCCCAAAAAATCCCACATATCAGAAATCATTCTAAGACACATACACATCCAAGTTGGTCACTCTGGAAGAAATCACATGCTGTCTAAACTAGGACAAAAATATTGGATGTCCTCTGCAAACTCCTCAGCACGAAAGATCATCAGAAAGTGTGTTTTCTGCAGACGTATGCAGTCTAAAGTAGGAGAGCAAAAGATGGCAGATCTTCCTCAGGACCGCGTGATGCCAGATTTACCAGATTTCACTGCAGTTGGCATGGACTATTTTGGACCGTTTGAGATAAAGCGAGGTCGGACTAATGTGAAACGATGGGGTGTAATCTTCACATGCCTTACTAGCCGTGCAATCCACCTTGAAGTGGCTAGTAGTTTGGACACAAACTCCTGCATCAATGCAATACGGAGATTCTTATATCGTAGAGGTACTGTGAAAACCATCAGATCTGATCAAGGTACACATTTCATTGGTGCGCAAAAGGAGCTTGAACAATCATTAAAATAACTAAACCACGACAAAATCCAAAGCAACCTTCTCCAAGAAGGGATCGAGTGGATATTCAACCCAGCAGCAGGCCCTCACCACGGAGGCGTATGGGAGCGACTCATCAAGTCACTAAAAAATATTCTGAGCTCTGTGGTAAGAGAACAAGTCATGGATGATGAGGCATTGCAAACAGCCTTATGTGAAGTGGAAGCTATAATGAATGATAGACCCATCACAACCATAACCAATGACTTGAATGATGTGGAGCCTTTAACACCTAATCATCTGCTTCTGCTCAAAACTCATCCTGTTATGCCACCTGGACTCTTCGTGAAGGAGGACCTGTACTCAAGAAGAAGATGGAGACAGGTACAATATCTGGCTGATCTTTTTTGGAAGAGATGGGTCAGAGAATATCTTCCAACAATGCAACAGCGAAATAAATGGAATAAGATCAGAAGGAACTTTCTTCCTGGAGATCTCGTTGTTATTGTGGACGATTCGGCTCCCAGAAACTCCTGGGTGCTAGGACGGATTCTGAAGACCCTGCCAGGAAGTAAAGGGCTTGTCCGAAGTGTTCTAGTTAAAACAAAAACAAGTGTTTTACAGAGGCCTGTCAACAAACTCTGTTTGCTCCTGGAAGCTGGAGATTAAGTGGACTACTACTGGCTAAAGCTAGAAAAATCGATTTTTGAACTCCAGAAGAATCTCATCTATGAACTCTGACAAGAAGAAAATTAATATTTGTTTTGAATATTGGCTCTATTTATTATTTGTTGTAATTGCTATATTCTATGCAATTAGGGGCTGGAATGTTAGAGCCATTTTCTGTGTTGACAATGAGTGTATTATTTTCTTATTAATTTAGATCTTAATATATTCTTTCCATTTATGTATTAGTACCGAATTAAATATTCGGAGAAAAACCTTGATTTACTGCGAGCCACACCTGTGATATAAGGAAGGGGTGGGACTGAGCGTGAGGAGGAAATTGTCTCCAGCAATGAACGGGGAATCGGAACAGTCTTTGACCTCACGTTACACTGATCGTTTTGTTTATTTTGTTTGTTTAAATATATGGAAGTAAATAAATCGGCCGAGGAAGGCAAAGAAATCAGCGCCTACAGAGCTTTATTTGGATGGTTTTTAACGTGTGAGTCAAGAAGCGGATCCCTGTTGACGTGGCACAGTTTTTAGATATCCCACAAGAATGGGCCACGACAGCCGTTCCAATTCTCCAAATGAAAGGAAAGGAGGTTTCAAACTTCCTTTATAACCTCCTTTAGCTTAGGAACCACTGGACCTCCCTTACCGAAAGGAGAGGAGAAAATGCTGCCCCACAATGCATTGCAGCCGCAGCATTTGCCATCACAACAGTCGGCCGTTCACGGAAACAACCGATTATGACGGAGAAATTATATCATGAAAGTTACGTTGCTTTTTAAGCATTTTAAAACGTATGTGGTAAGTTGCTAAAGTGCTTTGTTTTGAACGTTCATCAGTATTATAATCAAAAAGAGAAATATGAATGTTAGTTTTTACTGAAATGATCAAATAAAGTCAACATCTCAGTCTTTACTGAGCTGTGGGGTTTTAAAAGATAGGTGTTAAGGACTAACGTTTATAATAAATACATCTGTATCTATTTTAAGATCTTTTCATAGTTCATACAATCATACGGATCATTTGTATTAATGTGGACCGGAGGGAGAGGGTGACGAGCATAAGTTTCACTTTCCTTTTTTATTTCAATTCCAACTTTGGTCATGAAGAATATGTTTCTCTGTTGTCCACGTTCATAAAGCATAAAGCAACAGCATCAGAGCACGGTGCAGAGTCTCTAGATGAGTTTAGAGTAGTCCCTCGTTCTTATTAAACATCCATGTTGTAGTCCGCTGTATAGAAAACTGTAGTTTCCATAGTTTCCCCACAGCAGCAGACGCACATTCATGACGTCCGCTGGCGCATCATAAACACGTCTGATAGTGAAAGTGCATTCGGATTCTCTAAAGTACCTCAGTCTCTTCTCCTAAGTCCTTTTGAATTCTCCTATCCACTATCCCTTAACCCCGTGACGTTTCACTCAGAGGTCAAGGAATAGGAGATAGGGTTAGAACTTAGGAGCACATTTTTGGATTATCGGAACGCAACCCAGTACTTAAGTTTAGAGAATCCGAATGCACTTTCACTATCCGACGTGTTTATGATGCGCCAGCGGACGTCATGAATGTGCGTCTGCTGCTGCTGTGGGGAAACTATGGAAACTACAGTTTTCTATACAGCGGACTACAACATGGATGTTCAATAAGAACGAGGGACTACTGTAAACTCATCTAGAGACTCTGCACCGTGCTCTGATGCTGTTGCTTTATGCTTTATGAACGTGGACAACAGAGAAACATATTCTTCATGACCAAAGTTGGAATTGAAATAAAAAAGGAAAGTGAAACTTATGCTCATCACCCTCTTCCTCCGGTCCACATTAATACAAATGATCCCAATACGTATGATTGTATGAACTATTAAAATATCTTAAAATCAATACAAATGTATTTATTATAAACGTTAGTCCTTAACATCTATCACTGTGTATATCACCATTCAAACATCTTTTAAAAGTTGAACAACCCCACACAGCTCAGTGAAATGTTGACTTTATCTGATCATTTCAGTAAAAACTAATGTTCATATTTCTCTTTTTGATTATAATACTGATGAACGTTCAGAAAAAAGCACTTTGGCAACTTACCACATACGTTTTAAAATGCTTAATAAGCACCGTAACTTTCATGATATCATTTATCCGTCATAATCGTTTGTGTCCGTGAACGGCCGACTGTTGTGTGACGTCAAATGCTGCGGCTGCAATGCATTGTGGGGCAGCATTTACTCCTCTCCTTTCGGTTAGGGAGGTCCAGTGGTTCCTAAGCTAAAGGAGGTTATAAAGGAAGTTTGAAACCTCCTTTCCTATCATTTGGAGAATTGGAACGGCACTTATCATGGCAGCCAGTGACGTACTTCCGGGTCATTTCACTCCGTTAGGAAGGTTCCTAAGCTAAATGGACTATTGGAATGCAACCCTGCTGTGCCTCCTGTCATCATTAATGGACGTCTCTTTAAAATGACCGCTCAGAGGAGAGGAGTTCTCATTTCTCTAACCGCCTGCTGCTTCCCCTCCTCTCTCCTCGGCTCCCCTCCTCGACTCCTCCGTTCGCATCTCCTGTGGGCGGGACTAAGTCTTGAGGATAGGAGTCGAGGAGGGGAGTCGAGGAGGGGAGTTAGAGAAATGAGAAAGGGCCATCGAGAAACGGCCAGTGTTTACTTCCTGTCGGTCTTCTTCTGCTGTCCCCAGTAGTGTTTACTTCCTGTCTGTCTTTTGCTGCTGTTCACTTTAGTGTTTACTCCCTGTATTTGTTCTGCTGCTGTTCCCTTAATACCTCCCGTCTGTCTTCTGCTGATTTCTCTAACATCCGGCGCTCTGTCTTTTAACCTCTTTTCTTCTCTTGTGCTGCTTTTATTTTCATTACTGCGGACATATTCGCCATCATGTATCCAACGTTTTGTCTCTCCACAAATATAACAATCCATATAATTTTTCCACTGTGTGTTCTGAAGGAGAAAACTATTTTTTGTTGTCAACAGCTAACGTTACATTTACCTTGCAAAAAAAGTTAACAACCTCTGATATGACTAAATTGACCAATCAGAATCAAGTATTCAATTTAAGCTGTGTAATAGAGTGGAGCAGGGATGAAGTATTTACCTGGAAGTAAGCTGCGCATGGGTTCCCTCGACAAAAAAGCAATGGGATTTCTCATAGGATTTTGGAAAATAGCTCGAAATAAGGTCTGTGGAAAACGAACCTGTTAGATAAATGCACGTTTTGTTCAGCCGGATAATATCCACATGTCTACCCTACTTTTATTATTTTCGAATCATAAATCTAATCGCCAGAAGCTTAATGCTAACATCATGCTATAAACGAACTACAGCCGAGTACAGCAGGGTCGCAAGACTTCAACGTCATGCCAACTTAAGATCGATATTCAAAAATACAGATTCAAAATTGTACAAGTTGAAGCGTTTGTTTGAACAGTTTGCAAGAGTGCAGGTACTTGCTTTCAAGCAGAACAGGGGCAAACAAACTTAGCGGGAGTGTTTACGTGTTCGGTGTAATGACGTACAACTTCTGTAGTCCTATTCAGCCACTTGTTAACAACCATCGTTTTTCAGACACGTAAACTCTTCAAAAATCACCAGTGAGGTCACTGCTGATGTATTTAATGTCGTAGAACAAAACGTGATCCGTCTCTTAAATGTGTGTCAAACACAGACCTTATTTGGAGCTATTTTCCAAAATCCTATGGAGAAATCCCATCGACTCTGAGACGAGGGAACCGTTAGTGGTAAAATGCTAACTCACTTCCGGGTTTTAGGACTCATCACTGCACCACTCTATAACTAAGGGATATTGTGCAGTGAGGCGCTCATTATTGGAGAAAGAACACCCGACTGCGTGATCAAGGAGCCCAACGCAAGAACACGTCTTTTGGGTGTTCCCCGCTTATTACGGCCACATACTAAACAAACTAACGACATGACACGTAATATTAATTTAAATTATTTTATTGACTTGAAAATGGTTGTATTGCTTCCACCAAGAAAATAAAACTCAACACAACATCTTAATTTAAAATGAAGACAGCTTTGATTGATCTTTTCCGTGGCTGTCCAAGTCTGTTCCACTAACAAGTCCTGAAACACTACAGAGCCCATACTGTTTTCCTGTTAGTGTTTACTTCCCTTTCAGTCTGATTCTGTTGATTTATCTAACACTCCGTATTTTAACCTCTTTTCCTTTCACTCTCTTGATCCTCCTTAGAAACTGTCATTATAGTGCTTAACAGCATTCTGTACTACTGTCATATTGAACTCTGAAATGTCCGAATTGACCAATCAGAATCGAGTATTCAACTAAGCATGTAATAAAGGTTATTATACCAACTGCATCCCAATTATGACCAAAGTTATGATTTATAATATAAAGTATCTTAACTAATGTTTTTGGCCATTTTAGTCTCATATACACATGAAGCCAGCTCCTCTCCTTGAGTAGAGGAAAGAGGAAGCTTCTATCAAAGCTTTGATGTGGGACTGGAGACTGAGGGGAGTTCAAAGGGCATATCAAGGAAGAGAGAAACAGAGGGAAAGAGCGAGAGACGGGAGGGGGTTAGGGGCTAGGCAGGGGGGGGACATGGGAAGACTCACATCGGGTTTCCCTCGGGGATAGCAATGAGACTCTTAATAAGGACATGAGCTAATGAGGTCCAGGGACATTGGATACACAAAAACGTCTCCGTAACAGCTTATTCTCTGTTCTGCTGATATTCCCGTTTCACCATCAGGAGCTAAACAAAGCGTTCTTCAAGATATGATCAATAACAAATTCTGGATTTTATATAAAGACCTCTAATAGGAAAAGCAGGGCCATGTGAGGAGTATGTTGCTATTTACCAGCGTTCCTTCATAGCACAATGTTATTCAAAACAGGATGCTTTTTGAAATAATTATGCAGGGATGTTAGCAATTTCATGTGGCCATACACAAACAATCTCTTTCTGCAACCAGATGGAACATATCATGGATGGAAAATCCACTGTCCCACTTTTCTTTGGTAGTTATTGCAGTAAGAGTGTGGAAGGTCACATGATTGGGAACTGATTTCGGAAGTTTGAAATGTCAGCGGGAATGTCTCTCTTTTTTTACACGGTTGAAAGGTTCGGCTGTGATTGCATGCTAGACCATCAGCTGTTTTTCTTTAGATAGAAAAATGATTTAAAGACTGCATTGTTTCCTCCTTATCATTCTGAAAAAGCCCATGGGGAAAAGGTGTGGGGTTAGATCTGACATTCCTACATGTAGCCCTCATTAAGCCGAGTGTAGAGGGAACGACTGGTTTAGATTCATGGCCATTCCCAACCCTCGCTCAATTGGTGCATCTGAAAAGACCTTGAGATAGAAACAGCATGCCACAGGAAATTGAATGCAGCTGCATCACTGTTGTTTGTTCCAGCTTTATGGGTCTTTTTTTCTCTTCTGCTTTTCACACT